ATTTGGCTTTATGAACAACAGCATAGGATCCTTCGTAAGTGGCTTTGGCTCAGTGACGTTTTAGGGTTGTTGTTGTTGTTATTGTTGTTGTTTTGTAATTGTTTCCGAAGTTTATGTCTTGCGGAGTGTGGATTGTGTCTGTGGTTTTGGATTTGTGTTTGTGTGTGTGTGTGTGTGTGTGTGTGTGTGTGTGTGTGTGTGTGTGTGTGTATGTGTCTGTGTCTGTGTGAGAGAGAGAGAGAGAGCGAGAGAGTGTGTAAGTGAGTGAGGTTGAGAGACTGACAGACAGAGAAAAAGATTGAGAGAGAGAGAGACTGAGACCTGAGACTGGGACGAAAGAGATTGTCTGAGTATAGATGCGTATATACATGCAAGTACGTTCAGATTTTGTGTGTGGAACGTGCGGAACGTGCCTCGTTCGCGCTCCCCCACACCCCTACCTCCCCTTCACACCCTCCCCCTTCCCCCCTTCATACCCTCCTCCTTCCCTCCCCCCTTCCCGCCCTCCCCCACCGCCATCCCCTCCCCCTCCCCCCCCTTTCACCCCCACTCCCTCCTTCCCTCCTCCCTTCCCTCCCCCTCCCCCTCCTTCCCTCCCCACCCCTTTCACACCCTCCCCCACACCCTCCCCCTTCCCTCCCCCCCTTCAAACCCTCCTCCTTCCCTCCCCCTTACGCCCCCACACGCCCGCAGTCCCTCCCGAAGCCTTATTTTTCGGGCGCTTCATTGCTATTCATCGGAACACGCAGGAGGACAAACCCAAACAGATCGGCCGCACTGAGGATATCATTTATGCGTTAATATATATGCAAATTTATCACTCTTCGGTGTATCATTGTTCACGGCTTGAAGCTTTCGGTCTGGTTTGGTCTCTGGTAGGCTCGAGCGGCCTCCTTCGGTCTCCGTCGGTCTTCTTCCGTTTCGTTCGGTTTCTTTCGGTTTCGTTCGGTTTCTCTCGGCTTCCTTTCGGTTTCTTTCGGTCTCCATCTTCCTCTTTGGTCTCTTTCGGTCTCCACCGGTCTCTTTCGGTTTTCTTCGGTCTCTTTCGGTCTGCTTTCGGTCTCTTTCGGTCTGCTTTTGGTCTCCTTCGGTTTCCTTCGGTTTTCTTCGGTCTCTTTCGGTCTCCTTTCGGTTTCCTTCGGTCTCCTTTCGTTCTCCTTCTGTTTCATTCAGTTTCTTTCGGTCTCTTACGGTCTCCTCTCGGTCCTCGTCGGCCTCCTTCGGTCTACGTCGGTCCCTCGAAGCTGCGGTCCGGCAGGAGGCCATAATGCAACGCTCATGCAATGTTTATTGATGCCTCGGAATGCCGGCCTCTTTGTTTGCGGGATTATTGCAATTTGGTGCATGATGATGAGATGGCGAGCGCCGTATCGCCACTCGTGTTGCATTCATTGATATTGCTAACGGACGGGTTTGGTTGTGTGTAGGCCTGTGCGTGTGTGCGTGTGCGTGTGTGTGTGTGTGTGTGTGTGTGTGTGTGTGTGTGTGTGTGTGTGTGTGTGTGTGTGTAAGGTTAAAAGTGGATTTGAGAGAATTTAGTAATACGAAGAGAAAAATGGTGAGGCACAGGGTGAAAGGAAACGAAAAGAAAATTAAGGAGAGAGAGAGAGAGAGAGAGAGAGAGAGAGAGAGAGAGAGAGAGAGAGAGAGAGAGAGAGAGAGAGAGAGAGAGAAGGAGAGCAGCAAACAAAGAAACAGATAGACAGAGCTAGACAAAAGGAAGAAATAAAAGAAGATAGAAACAAAAGAGAGAGAAGACATACAGAGAAAGACGAAATAAAAGACAACAACAACAACAAAAAAAAGGAAAATCGACAAACACGAAAGAGGAAAAACCCTGAGAATGAGAAATGGCGCATTGTTTCCTCCAGCAGCGCCACATCATTCTTGCTCCCCCCCCTCCCCCTCCCTCCTCCCCTCCTTCTCCCTTCCCCCTCCTTCCTTCCCCCTTCCCCCTCCCTCCTCCCCCTTCTCTCCTTCTCCCTTCCCTCTTCCCCCTCCTTCCTTCCCCCTTCCCCCTCCCCCTCCCTCCTTCTCCCTTCCCCCTTCCCTCTTCCCCCTCCTTCCTCCCTCTTCCCCTTCCCCCTCCCCCTCCCTCCTCCCCTCCTTCTCCCTTCCCCCTCCCTCCTTTCCCCTTCCCCCTCCCTCCTCCCCCTTCTCTCCTTCTCCCTTCCCTCTTCCCCCTCCTTCCTTCCCTCTTCCCCCTCCCTCCTTCTCCCTCCCTCCTTCTCCCTTCCCCCTCCCCCTCGCCCCTCCCCCCTTCCCCCTTCCCCCTTCCCCTTTCTTCCGTCCTCCATCCTCAGGTCTCTCTTACTCTTCCCCTTTCCTTCCTTCCTTCCTTCCCCCTTTCCCCTTCCTTTCTCAGTTTTCTTTTGTCCCTCCCTCTCCTCTACTCCCTTTCTCAATTCTCTTTTATCCCTCCTCCCTTCCCCCTTTCCTTCCATCCTTCCTCCTTCCTCAGTTCTCTCTTACCCCTCCCCCTCTGCCCCCTCTCCACACCCTCCGTCCTCCTCAGCCCTCTCACCCCACCCCACCCCCTTCTTCCTCCCCCTCCTCAGTCCTTCCCTTCCACCCCCACCCCTCTTCCTCCCCCTCCTCAGTCCTTCCCCTTTCTCGATCCTCTCCTCCCCTCCCCCCTCCCCTCGCCCCATGCCAATTAATCTTCCCCCTCCCCTTCCCTAATCCTTCCCCCCCCCCCCTCAATCCTCCCTTCCCCACTACCTCCTTCTCAAAACTCTCTTCCTCCTTCCCCCTCCCCAATCACCTCATCTCCTCCCTCAGTCCTCCCCCTCCCACACCCCCACCTCCTCGCCAATCGTCTCCCCTCTCCTCCTCCCCAATCATGGCACCCATTCCTCAATCCTCCCCCCCCCCCCCACCTTCTCTCTACTTTTCCCTCTCCCCCTCTCCCCAAGTCCTCTCTCTCCCTTCCCCTCTCCCCCTCCCCCAGTCCTCTCTCTCCCCTCCCCTTCCCTCCCCCTCCCCCTCTCCTCCCTTCCCCCCTCCCCCTCTCCTCCCTTCCCCTTTCCCCTTCTTCCCAAGTCCTCTCTCTCTCCCCTCCCCCCTCCCCCACCCCTCCCTTCCCCTCTCCCCCTCTCTCCAAGTCCTCTCTCTTCCTTCTCCCCTCACTCCCTTCCCCTCGCCCCCACTCCCCAAGTCCTCTCTCTCTCCCCTCCCCCTCCCCCACCCCCTCCCACCCCCACCCTCTTTCATCCCGTGTGTTTACGAGGCGGCAACGAAGAGCGAGCGATATTTTCCTCCGTTTCTCACAAGATGAAACAGCATTTGGACCGTAATGCAAACACTAGCTGTTGCAACGGCACACCGGCCTTGCAACGAGAGACATATACACGCGCGTGGCATTGCACACCTAGGGGGCTTTGTCTCGCATCTCGCGTCTTATGCTTATAAGTTATGGTGTTGATGTAAGTGATGGTGTAAGTAATGATATTCTTTTATTTTCTGTTCTTTTCTTTTCTTTTCTCTTCTCCTTCTACTTCTTTTCCTTCTACTTCTCCTTCTCCTTCTCCTTCTCCTTCTCCTTCTCCTCCTCCTCCTCCTCCTCCTCCTCCTCCTCCTCCTCCTCCTCCTCCTCCTCCTCCTCCTTCTCCTTCTTCTTCTCCTTCTTCTTCTCCTTCTCCTTCTCCTTCTCCTCCCCCTCCTTCTCCTCCTTCTCCTTCTCCTTCTCCTCCTCCTTCTCCTTCTCCTTCTCCTTCGGTTTTATTCTTTACACACGTCTGTTCAGTGCTTTGTCTTCGTTCCTATGATCATCCTGCACTTGATTATGCAAATTAGGTTGATCATATTTGGTGGATTTCACCCGCGGCCCGTTGCATGTGCGTCGTTTTCTTTGTGATGTGATTAAACAAAGGTTTTTGTGTCTCTGTGTTAGTCTCTGTCTCTTGCTTTTGGTTGCCTCGATCTGTCTGTCTTTGTATGTATATATGTGTGTGTCTTTTAGTTTCTCTGTCTCTCTTTTTCTCTTATGTTTATTCTTTAATTGCGTGTCTGTTTCGATTTGTCTGTCTCTGTATGTATGTGTCTTTCAGTTTCTCTTTCAGTTTCTCTGTCTCCCTCCCATCTTCCCTCATCATTATCATCACCATATCCACCACCACCAGCATCCTCATCAACACCACCACTTCCATCACCAACACCACCAACAACACACCGCCACCACCGCCGCCACCATCACCACACCACCATCATCATCTCCACCACACCACCACCACCACCTCCACCACAACACCAACACAACAATACCACCACCACAACACCACCTTCACCACCACCATCACCACCTTCACAACCACCTTCACCACCATCTCCAGCATCCTCATCACCCCCACGATTTTAGACGCCGCCGACCGAACGAAGGGCCACCACACCGCGGCCACCATTGCGTCGTATCAAGCAAGCCAACGGCAAGAGACCAGCATAGGGGAATTATGTGACGTGGCGAAGGGGCTTTAATCGTGGGTGCTTGAGAGTTTAACGGCTAATGCTTGCTTCTTCTCGCGTGCTTTTGATGCGGCTTGGTGCTGGGCCGTGGCTTGGTGGTTGTTTCTTGAGGTGAATGAGATTCTTCTGCTTTATTTTGTTATTAGCGTTATTTATTATTGTTAATATTGTTATTATATTGGTGTTACTATAGCGGAAGGGTTACTGTTCTTTATCTTTTTATCTTATCATTATTTTTATCTTTTGAAAGGGTTGGCTAAACTAGTCTTGCAGTCGGAGCAATATCCCACCCACCCGAGATCTGGACGTAACATTACGGCACCTGCCCTTCCCTCCAAGGACGTATTATTTCTACACCCGCTCTTCCCTCCACCGACGTTATATTACGCAACCCGCCCTTTCAGGATTAAGCTAGAGATGAAAGTCGTTCTCCGAGATTTTCAAAAAAGGGGCGACATCCCACGCCAATTCGTGATTCGTTTCTGCGCCACGAAATCCTCCAGAAGGCCCAGGAGGACGGCGCCTATGGAGGAAGGACTCTGTTGGGATTTGGGTAAAGACCGTCGGATGTCCTTCCTGACCTCGGATCGTAGACAGGATTCGAACCCGCTCGCTTGGACGTCCCGTTCGGTCCCAAGAGGCGCGCGCTATCAGTGTACGGCGGCGGACCCATCAACTCTCTCGATTTAGTTAGAGTATTGCCGTTGCCCCTTTTATGGCGTCATCTTTTGTTGCTTTTTTGTTGTTTGTTCTTTTCTTTGTTTTGTTTTTCTTTGTTTTCTTTTTTCTATTTTTCGTTTATAATTATCATTTTCCTTCCACTTACTCGTAATTTTCTTTTCCTCCTTCTCCTCCTTATCATCACCATCACCACCATCACCATCACCATCCTCATCCATACTTATATTTTTTCTTAAAACCAACCCCCCCCCCAAAAAAAAAAAAAAAAAAAAAAAAAAAAGATAGAGAAAGTGAGAGAAATAGCATAGCTCTCCTACATTGGAATATTCGCGGTTTCCCTTCTCACAGACCTGACTTTCTTCATATTTTTTTAAATTCTTATAACCCATCCATTATCTGCCTTCAAGAAACTTTTATCCCACACTTTCTGCTTTACCAACCTGTTTTCCTTCGTCAGATGCATACATATCCTTCCCTTAATCTAACCCTTTTCCCTAACCCGCCCTTAACCCATTCCCTCATCATCTCCTTTGTCGAGCTTTAACCTTTTCAATATTAATCTAGATAGCTGGCGTATAGCGACTATCTTACTAATTCAACTACCGTTCATTGTCCTTTACTATACCTTCCTATAGTGCTGCATGACCTTAGATGTCTAGCATATTTAGTTTGCTTTTAATCATTAAGAAACACAGAATGGTCTTTGCCTCTCGCTTTCCCACGTGTTCAAAGGCGGGTTTGGGGGAAGTCTGTTCAAGTTCAAGCCGACCTTTGAACACTCGCTGCCTGGGCGGTAGTCTCTCGCGCTCTCGGTGATGGTAATGGTGGCGGTGGCTGAATTTTGTTATTTTCGTTATGGTTGTTGTTAGTGTTGGTTTGTTGTCGTTATCATCTTTATCGTTATTGTTATTATTATTGTCATTATTTTTATTATTCTCCTTTCCCCCCTCTTCCTCTCTATGTTCTTATTCCTGCTCATCATTCTCTTTATCTTCCTTTTCCTCTTCTTCTTCTTCCTCCTCCTCCCCCACCTCCTCCTCCTCCTCCACCTCCTCCTCCTCCTCATCATCATCATCATCATCATCATCATCATCATCATCATCATCATCATCATCATCATCCACCTCACCACCACCTTTTCCACTTAACCCTCACCTGGAGAGCCTCCTCTTCCTCCCTCTTATTTTCACCCTTCCCCCCCCCCTTTCTCCATCCCCCCCCCCCCCTCTTCACCCCAACACCTCACTTTCCCACATCGTTACCTACCCCCCCCCCCCCATGCACCCCCTCCTTACCCCTCGCCCTCTTCCTTTTCCTCCTCAACCCCACGCAGTTTTTCTTCCTCACACCAATCCATTTTCTCATCACACCTTCGCCTCCCCCTCCTCCTCCTCCTCCTCCTCCTCCTCCTCCTCCTCCTCCTCCTCCTCCTCCTCCTCCTCCTCCTCCTCCTCCTCCTCCTCTTCCATGCCCCTCACCCCCAACCCACCACCTCCTTCTCCTCCTCCTCCTCCTCCTCCTCTTCTTTTGTTCCTTATTCTCCTCTTCTCCTTTTATCTCCTCCTCCTCGTCCTTCTCCACGCCCCTTACCCCCTTCCCCCATCCTCCTCCCCTTCCTCTCCCCCTTCCTCTTCCTCCCCAACCCCCTCACCCCCCTACACTCCACCACCCATCCACTTCCTTCTCCCCTCCCTCCCCTTTTCCCCTTCCTCCTCCTGCACCTCCTCTCCTCCTCCTCCTCCACCCCATGAGAACATAGGCCCCCCCACCCCCCACTCCCAGCCCAAACCCTACCCCCCCCGATGCCTTCCCGATGTCTAATTCATCTCCTAAGCCTGATAAGCTGCCTTGATCACGCCCAGCATCTCCTGCGGCAGAGACTTCTTATCTGGGCGGAACCGAGGTGGGGGGGGGGGGGGGTGAGAGGGAGGATTAAGGGGAGGAGAGAGAGAAAGGGAAAGAGGGTGAGAAAAGGGAGGAGGAAGGGAGAGAGGGTGAGGAAAGTGAGGAGGAAGGGAGAGAGGGTGAGGAAAGGGAGGAGGGAAGGAAGCAGAGGGAGAGAGGGGAGTAAAGGGAGGAGGAAGGGAGAGAGAGGAGGAAAGGGGGGAAGAAAGGAGAGGGAGAGAGGGGAGAAGAGGGAAGAGAGAAGGAGAGGGAGAGAGGGGAGAAAAGGGAGGAGGAAGGAAGGAGAGGGAGAGAGGGGAGGAAAGGGAGGAAGGAAGGAGAGGGAGAGAGGGGAGAAGAGGGGGAGGGAGAGAGGGGAGAAGAGGGAGGAGGAAGGAAGGAGAGGGAGAGAGGGTGAAAAAAAGGAGGAGGAAGGAGAGGGAGAGAGAGGAGAAGAGGGAGGAGGGAAGGAAGGAGAGAGAGATAGGGTGAGAAAAGAGAAGAGGAAGGAAGGAGAGGGAGAAAGGGGAGAGGAGGGAAGGAAGGAGAGAGAGATAAGGTGAGAAAAGAGAGGAGGAAGGAAGGAGAGGGAGAGAGGGGAGAAGAGGAAGGAGGGAAGGAAGGAGAGAGAGAGAGGGTGAGAAAAGAGGGAGGAAGGAAGGAGAGGGAGAGAGGGGAGAAAAGGGAGTGGGAAGGAAGGAGAGGGAGAGAGGGGGGAAGGGAAGGAGGAGGAAGGAAGGAGAGGGAGACAGAGGAGAAAAGGGAGAAAGGAAGTAAAGGGAGAGAGGGGAGAAGAGGGAGGAGGGAAGGAGAGGGAGAGGGGGGAGAAGAGGGGGGAGGGAAGGAGAGGGAGAGGGAGAGGGAGAAGAGGGGGGGGGGAAGGAAGGAGAGGCAGAGAGGGGAGAAGAGGGAGGAGGGAAGAAGGAGGAAAGAGAAAGAGGGGAGAAGAGGGGGGGGGAGTGAGGGGAAGAAAGGAACGAGGGGAGAAGAGAGTGGAGAGGAAAGAAAATTGGAAATAAGGAAGTACGGAGAGGAAGAGAGGGAGGAGGGAAGGAGATGGAGGGAGAGGAAAAGAAGGATTAGGGAAGGGGAGAGGAGAGAGATGAAGGAAAGTTGTGAAGGGATAAAGAAAAAGAAAGAAAGGGAGAAAGAAGAGAAGAGGGAAAAAGGAAAGGGGGATAAAAGAGAAGCGAGAGAAAGAAGGAAAGAAATGTAGACCAGGAAAGAAGCAAGGAGGGAAGTGAGGTAAAGAGGAGAAGAACGTATGGAGGAAGAGGGAGAGAAGAAGAGAAGAAGGACGGAGGATAGTAAACGGGGTATAAAGGAAAAGGAGGAAGTGGAGAAAAGCGAACATAAGAAGAGAAATAGAGAGGAAAAAGAAGAAGAAGAAGAAGATGATGATGGGGGGAGATAGTATCGTTCGCTGGTGAATTAAAATCTATTTTTTCCCCATAATTCATATCATATGCAATTACAATCTTTATTCTTCCATCCAATATAAGATAAAAAAAAAAATGATAATAATAACCTTCATTATATCACACCCTTTTTCTCACAATTGATATCAGATCTAATTACATTTTTTTATCTCTCTTCCCCGATAATGTCCCTCTTCCATAACCTTTGTTAACCTTACCCCCCCTTACCCCACCATCACCCCCCTCCCCCACCACCCCCACCCCAACCACTGACACATGATAGCCTGACATCGATTATTCAAGCGTGAACCATCATCTGCATGTTAATATGTATGCAAATGTGTTACTCTTCGCTGTATCATTGTTCATTCAGCCTCCCCCCTCTTCCCTCCCTTCCCCCTCTCCCCCCTCCCTCTCCTCCCTCCCTCCTATCATGCCCGGCCTTTCCTGTCTATTCTTTCCTCTCCTCTCTCTCCCCTTCCTCCCTCCCTCCTTCCCTCCCTCCCTCCCTCCCTCCCTCCCTCCCTCCTTCCCTCCTTCCCTCCCTCCCTCCCTCCCTCCCTCCCTCCCTCCCTCGTATCAAGCTCAGCCTTTCCTATCTATTCTTTCCTCTCCTCTCCCCTCCCTCCCCCCTTCCTCTCTCTCTCCCTCCCTCCCTCCCTCCCTCCCCTCCCATCACGCCCAGCCTTTCCTATATATTCTTTCCACTCCCCTCTCCCCTCCCTCCCTCCCTCCCTTCTTCCCTCCTATCACGCCCAACCCTTTCCTATCTATTCTTCCCCCCTTCCTCTCTCCCTCCCTCCCTCCCCCTTTCGCTTCCTATCCCCCATTTCCTGCTTCCCTTCCCCCCCCCCCTCTATGCTTCACGATGAGGAAAGTAGAGGTAAATAGAGTAGGAGTGATTACTTTTTGCTTTACGGGTTTTGAAAGTTGTATATTCAACGCTAAAATGTAGTTTGTGATCTCGTGTTGAGTCGCATCGACTTATGACCGGATTTTTGCCGACATTTAGTTGAGTTATCGCTGTATCGAGTCAGCAAGCTCCTGGTATCTGCCAGGTAGTAATAAAAATACACTTTGGCATTATTCTGGTTTCGACGTCGTCTGTCTTACTCATTCGCTATGCGGCTTTTGGTGTCGTAGTGTGCCGTGGTGGCGAGGTGTAGTGACACCCCACCCCCTCGACCAGGGCATTCCTGTATGGCGGGTGGCCGAGGAGTCAGTATGCTCCCCGCGATGCGTGCCAAGGGAGGTCATGGGTGCGCGGGGATTGGCAGTAAGCGTGTGTAATGGGAATTCACCAGCGAGTCTGGCGTCACTCTCAGGGTGTATCACGCTTGAATACGTCAGGAAAGTGGACGGTCGACCATATGCGAAGTTTCGTGGGTACGGTCATGGAGACGACACGGGGGGGGTGGGGAGGGGGGAGGAGGAGGGCTGGCCGGGGGGGGTGGGGGGGGGGGGTCGCCGGGGGAGCCGGGATGGACAGGGGGGGAGGAGGGGGGGGGGGGGGTGGGGGAGGGGGCGGAGGGGGGGGAACGGGGAAAGGGGGGGGG